ACCAGCCTGCTGGTACCTGCTAATATGAGAGACGCTGGTAGCCATCTATCACGGAAAAAGGCATCATTCATCAGCCCTCCCTGATTTCAGGCAAAATAATTCCGAACATCATCAATCAAATTGGTGTGACCGCAGTGCCCTGCGGATCACCATTCCTCAAAGTGAGACGACAACGGAATGCCACACCATCCTCAGTATTTCATCGTGCAATAAGCCTCATCATGGCTCAACCTACGCGGTTAGTTACTGAGATGCGCATGGTATACCGGACAGGCAACATCGAGTTTCGTGGACTGCGTTCGTATCCCGATCGAACACACAAGAAAAAAAACAACGAGCGAACGGCGGAAAAGTAACAGGCCAGAAAAAATTCCCCTTTGTACTTTCGTCAGTCGTATCATCAAAATCGGCTCTTTAGGGGGAAATGCCGACGAGCCGAATTGCACGCAAGGCACGAAAGCGAACGGGCGTTGATGCACCGCTGGGAAAACAGATCTAGACTATACATCAGAGTGCTTCGTATGCGACGTCCAACTCGACACCACCGACTCCAACTTCAATCGCGGCGACTGCAGTTTCAGTTCTCGATGGGCAGTTTTTCGCGTTGTGCCCCTTTTTTTCCGCACCTCTGGCAAAGCTTCTCTGGGCATGCACTCGCATAGTGGTCACCATCACAGACGTAGCACTTGACTCTCTTATCGCTAGCTAAATTCGCCTCTTCGTAACCTCGGTTTTGTTTCGGACGTCTCTTTCCTCCCCCCTTCCCCTCTACTGCTACGAACGCATGATGGTTCGCTCGCCGTTCACTCTTCCCCTTCTTTTCCTCCGCTTTCAGTTGCCCAGCCCGTGTGCGAAGCACTCTCAAAATCTCTTCTTCATCGAGTGTTTTCTGGGCGAGCAGCTGTTGCTTTTGAATCTCGAATTCTGGGGAAAGCGCATCGAGGAACCGTGCATACACGAGCATTTTTGGGATGGGCTGGTCGAATGCCAACTCTAGGTTAGTCACTACGGACTTGAACTCCTGGAAAAACACTCGGGGTTCCTGGTTTTTCCCTTGTTGGGCATTATAAAACTTTCCGATCAGCGAGATCTGCTCGCCGCCGGTCAAGGGGGTGAATGTTTCTTCTAACGCACGCCACGCTGCCGAGGGCCCCTTTCGATCGTACACCAGCATTTTTGTGGAGTTGTTGGATATCGCTCCGGTCAGCATCCCCCACAAATCCCGGTACATGGCTATCTCCCCTACTTCCACTCCTTGCTCTATCATGCCATCATCGTCTACGCCTAGGACCTCAATGTCTCTGCTGTCGCTCAAGGCGCGACCCATCCCACAAGTCTGAACATGCGTAATGAAATCGTTTCGGAACATCAGCCAGTTTTTCTCGTCTCCGTTGAAGTCCAACTGTTTCAGGCGTGGGATACGGGCATGCGAGCTGAAAGCATACCGTGAAGCTTGCTCCTCTCTGCTGATTCCCTCTCGCGAGATAGCACCGTGTGGTGTAGGCTCTTGTGTTTCCGGGCCTCGCAGTCCTCTCGCTCCCTCGAGCCCTCGTCCAGTATTCGGCGCTTGGTCTAGCTGACCCGCGCCAGGGAAGGCGTGCGTCCTCCCCTGTGACTCCCCCCCGCCGCCCGCTGCGGTCGCACTTCCGGCGGGCGGTGTCCCGGGCACTAACCGGGACAAGATGTTCATGATGCCTTCCAGTTTCTCCGTCACCATCTTCTCCATTCTGGTGCTGGCGTCGCCCACGGCGTCGTCGATGGCCGTCCTAAGCTCCTCATGAGTCGGGCCAGCCTCGCCCCCGCCAGAGTTCCCAGAGTCGTTCGAAGACATGTGTGTCTGCCGCACTAGGCTATGACGTTAACGCCACAAGAACTCTAGAGTGTTGATTGGCCCCAAGCCGAGTGCTGCTGGATGAGCACGGCTGTCCCGTTTGACAATGTGAAGAGATGGTAAAGTCGTTTTATTGGTCGTCCTCGTAGACACAAGCAACGGAAGAGAGTGGGCAAGCAGGTGCATCACAAACACCGAGGCACGCGAGCAACAGTCACAAGACGCATTCGGAACTCGGAATACATGACAGCAAGGAATGCGCGACAACTTGCCAAAGATCCTACTACCGGAGATACCCCGAAGATCCAAATGACCGATGGACGGTCACGCACTTGCGCACCTGCATAGCTCAAAACCACACATGAGTACTACCGCAGTAGCCTTTGTAAGGATGGCATAAACCACCTCACGAACATCATCATGGTGAAACGTCGCTAGTGGCGGAGTCGATTTCACGCTAATGTAACGAAGAAGAATCGGAGACACTAGTTATGTCCACGACGTTGATCTAAATGACGAGTGCTTGCTAAAGGCGTACTAGGTGTTGAATACAAGGTCTCCCTTCGGGATATGGGTGTCAAGCCTCCCGCGGGTGACGCAAGACCACATGCGCATTGCCAGAGAAGTGTTTTGTGTCGTATTGCAGCACCTATGTGCACATTAATCGCGCTTGTATTCCGTACAAACCACATTGCACACGTACATTGGAACCAGCTCGAGCGGACAGTAAGTTGCCAGCGAATTTCATACTAATGAACCAGAAACTGGTTCGGCGATTGTTCTCTTGGGATCGCAGCTTTCTAATGAGTACCGAACTTGTTTGAATTTGAAACAACACCAAAGCACAACATGTTCAACACTGTGGGTGAATACGCTTAGACTTGTCTACGCCAGCAGCGTTTTTCGTTGGACTCGCTGCGAAGCATAGAACAGCAAAATGAAAGTGTTGTTGACCATTGTGATGACACGAAGAGACAGCGATGTGCAAAAAGAGAATGGCCCACAGCGCAGAAATACCAGTAGCCTGAAAAATCGCAACGTTGTGGGAGGCACCGGACTTCTGTTGCTCGTCATTCAACGAGGACAGCACACAACCGTATGCATACAACTGCGATAGACTGTGCAATCTGGGATGATCACGGAACACCGAAATGAGAACACCATCCACCCCTTTGTTGGAAACAATGGAGACTAACGTACTGCTTCTTGTTCGTCTTGGCCTCGGCCAGGCGGAGGAAAGAAGGGAAGCAGCGACGTGGCCCAAACCGCTCTCCGTCGGCCGAGAGTGACGAAGTCGAACGAGGTGCCGTCGGAGGAAATGGTGGGGTACCGCCCGGCGGCGGACCACACGGCGAAGACGAAGAGATGCCGGACACCGGCGCCGCCTGATTCATTGTGCCGCGCAGTGGCCTACCCGAGTTAATTTTGCCGCTTAGCGTATGCCACCCTTGTTCTCTTTCCCTGGATTGGTTTCGAGGCACAGCAATCCGCAAACAAAGTGTATTCTCCTGTTTCTCTGTTGCGGTTATTTCAGGGAGGGGACCCCGCACCTATGATACCGGGAGTACTGGGAGGCCTGGCATGCCGCAATGGAGTGCATTCGTCTACCTCGTGTAAGCGACGGCATCGCAAAGCGATTCCTGCAACTGCATACATGAACCCGAGAGACGGGGCTCGTGCCTTCCCAGAGCGGGAGTACATAAAATGGTACTGTACAGTTCATTTTGCTGGCTACAAAGCTCGTTGATAGCATTGCTGACCTCTTCCGGTGCGTGGCCGGTGCAACTGGAACAAAGTCGTAGTTGCTTTCGTTCTCCGACTGGCTTCCAATGGAGGGGACTGCATGGGGTAGTAGTGAAGTAGGGAGTTGAGCACATTGCCCAACTCGGAATCTGAGTCTAGAAGTAAAATCTGAACAGGGCATCTTCGACCCTACACGTTCGATACGCAATTATCTTTGAAACATTCGAGACAGAATGGCACCATGTGGCCGATATGACCAAACACTCAGGACAAAATGAAACCGTATGGTCGACATTATTACCAGAACTGACCTCACATAACCAATAGTTTATCTTAGTTGCAGTGAGGATAGGCCTACACGCAAGTCAAACCCAACCAAAATTCAAGGGGGCAACGTACAGACTCGCAGCCGCCCCCCGGCAGTGCGAGGACACCCACTGCTGTAGGTAGGGGTGCACCGATTTAAGAACAAAATCAGAGCCAAGGCCTACAAATATTACTGAAAGAAGAAGCCCCTCTTTACGGCTACAACGCCACGGCATGCCACGCCAGTACTGGAACCTGACAATTTCCCATTTTTTTTCATATTTCGCAACACCGGGCATGTGTTGTAAATATGCTCTCGCACACAGGGCAAAAAAAAAAGATGGATTCTAACTCACGTCACTATCGGACGCCGTATCTGCCGCAATGCTCTCGCGGGACCTTCGGCGATCAGAAAACCATCTGCTCCGGAATGGAGGTACTTTGGAAAAGGTGCAAAACTCGACGAAGCGGCCTCTTCCGTTATATGAAATTCCCCACACCATGAAAAACATGAGGAAACATTTGACGCCTCGATCGTCCTACTTTTGACTGTCGTACAGTCTGGGGTTTCGCCCTGTTCCTCTCGTCTTGGTTTCCAACAACAGTCCACGGCTCGTTCATTTGCCTCCCTTGCGTTGGGCAATGCACGCGGTGACGGGTCCTGAGTTGTGCATACTTCTTTGCATCCAAGTTGTCTGGCATCTAGCTCGATGGTGCAGGGAGACAAGGATATCGCCCCCCGCCACCAAGTTCGTGCGCGGAGGTGCTCGCTCATCCGGCCACTAAATGCTAAAATAGTAAAATCCCGACACCCAAACGCAAACACACGCTGTTGCCTGTGCGACTGCACAGAACGAGCAGACAAGAACAAATCCCGAAAACACGGTGGTCGCAGATGACATTCGTAACCTCCATGATAAAGAATTGACGATGTCAATTTCATCAACAAAATAAGGGGCACACTTTGTGCTTACGTTCCCCACGTGTTGTCTTGACCTCACGCACACGTACGGCTCAAGAGCAAGAGGCTTCTGCAGCCCCTACCCTACAACCCTTTCGCGGTTCGCGGGTCTGCCCCCTCCCTTTCTGCGGGAGTTGACGAAACCAACGAGAACAACGTCTAGCGCGATGGTGCAGGGCTCGAATTTGAGGCTAGCCACTTTCGAACGTTCTCGTTCCGAACCCACACCTCCCCTCCTCTCCCGTCGGGTAAACGCTTCATCTCTTCCCTGAACTCTATGTAGCCATCACCATCTCTGGCGTTCTTCCGCCTCCTGCGTTCCTCGTTTTCCATGAAAACCTTCAGTGCTTCGTACGAGGCCCTCGTATCTCTTTGTAAGTCCGCGCCGACGGTGTCGTCACCCGAAACAGCACGGAGTAGCGCGTCCTCGTCAAGAGTGCGGTCGACTAGCTCCTCGACCAGTCCATCTTTCACGTCCTTCAGGAAATCCGAGATATCCACGTTCAGCCCCGTCACTGCGTTTAGCGCCACCTTCGCGGTCACCACGGTCACCTAAAGGAAGAATCACAAAAAATTATATAATGGGGGACAAAGAAATCCACCGCAGCTCATCGTTACTCACGGTTCAAGCATACTCCGCCAACCCAGCCCCGCTATGCGGAGCGTTATGTACAACCAACGAATTTTTCACCGGGAGACAATGGTCGTTCCCAGTGCGATCTCATGCAAAATAAGGGGGGGGGGGAGACAAGAGGTGTAGAACCCCACCAGGACCAGCAGTGTCATATACTCCAGCCCAATCGGTGTCCGCCTGTTCAGGGGGGGGTGTACTCATAGTCGTGCATGCCGTAGTCGTTAGACCATTGACCTCGCATCCCTACAAAGCCGGGACGGAGCACGCCGGGTTCTCACCGGACCAGGCTCTCACATCACCAAGCGCGAAGGGCCGTGAGGTATTCGGCGAGTCGCATGAAGGGTGCGCTGCATCCTGCTAAGGGTGTTCGGCATCTTGTTGCTTACTTCCTTGCGTACGAATGACAGCTGCGTATGACTTAATAATCTCTAGTGCTTTCACTTCCAGAGACAGCTGTAAGCCGTGTGTAACTGCCTCGAGGATGCTTGACCAATGTAACACAACGTGGTGCGATTGTCCCCTTTGCGCGGAATGAGGGTTCTCGACCCCGCACAACATGATCTACTCGACCACCGTTACCGCAAATAAAAAAACACAGTTAAATGCAAAAACAGCGGTAACCTGTATGCCGCGCTCACGGAAGTGATCGGCTTGTGTTACAACATCGCTGCCAAGGCGACGAGAACCCAACCCCGATGGCAAACACCAGCTGGGGGCAGCTTGTTTTCCAACGTCGTTGCCACGCGACGAAACCTCAACCCCGATGGCAACCCCGGGGGAAGGGGGGGGGGGGTTAGAGGTGTAGAACCCCATCAGAAACGTCAGTGTCACCTACTCCTATCGGCCTCTTCCAAAACCTTGGTCTCACCTGAAGGGCAGGCGATACTCTCTTCACCCAGGCACGCGTCTCTTGGAACTGATAGCCCTCACCACCATAGCCGCACGGCACCGTAGTCATGTCGACCGGGCACAAGAAGTGCAATCTCATGTCCTTCTTTCCCAAGCCACGAAGCTTGCTCAGCATACTCTTCTTTCCATGAGCCTTCGACGAAGTGCCATGAGATCCAACCTCCTTGACGACCACAAGGCGAGGGTAATGGTAGTTCGGGGCCTGCAAGTTCTTGAGGCGCGCAAGGCTTTCCTGGGTGCTCTCTAGCACCTTGTCCAGCCTTCCCGCTATCATGCCCAACCTGTCCTTCACGTCACGCAACTCAGTCTTGGTGTCCTTCAGCTCAGCCTTCACTTCGTCCATCTTTCGAACAAACTCGTCCTCATCCGTGGAGCTGCCCTGTGACAACCATGATGCAAGTGCAGGAACAGGATAGCACCACTCAGCAGCGATATATATGAGCCGAGCAACTGTGCAATCTCTTCGTCCCCAACCAATAGGACCACGATACTTGTTCACCAAGAGTGCGGAGGAAACATGGGTCGGGCAGCGGGTGAACCATGGGCTAGGCTGTGCCACATGTACATGCGAACGGGCTCAGGATTCACAACACCATAGTTTTCGTTGTGCTGCTGGTACTACGTATGTATCCTATCGGGACGCGATGGTGCCGTACGTCTGTGCAGACACCACGAGGTGAGTGGGTGAACACGGCAATATCAAGATTGTGACATGTGCAATGGACCAGGTACGCTTATTACCGGTCCTAAACAAGACCAAGCAACTGAAGGTATTCGCCGCGAAAAATAAAGCCGGGTGATGAAGCCCTCTGCCAACGGAGGAACGACGGGTGGGTAAAGGATGCGCAAGCTCGGGTGAGAAGCAAAAATAAATAGAGGAGATTGAAGGAGACTATCTGAAGTGGAAGTCGGGTTGCCTGGCCACTCCGAGCAAGCGTGGCGGAAACTACCCAATCGGTCACCGTACGCTACGAGCAGCGGGAACCCACATCACCTTACTGGTCTGAGAACGCACCGAACGTTCGCAAGGCTACTGAAACAGCCCAGAGATCAATCCAAGACACGTAATCTATTCTCACCGCCGGGCAGGTGAAGTACTGACTCTCCAGGACGTCAAACCTGGCCTTCACCTCGCGGTCAATCACGCCTGTCGTGCGAAATAAGCGTAAGGAAATTAGTCAGTGCCTCCCAAAACATTTCTTCACTCACGCATGACGTGATGCCCGCAATGCGGTTGGACCGTGCGTAGCCAGCGAGGGATGACGACAACGGTCGACGTCGGACGGGGCTGGAGTCTGACCAAGTGCACTCGATCGCAACGTTTCTGATGATTCCGCACTAATTCTTGCGAAATGTACAACGCAAGTCATCCGCACGAACGTTAACCTCGGTGACAACCCCAGCACCAACGACGGAAACAACGTTGCCATTTCTGGTAGCTTCCCTTTTCGGCTGCTGCTGCTGCTGCTCCTCGCACCGCCTTCTCCCCCGCTATTGACCCCGTAATGGCGCACACAACGCAACGGAACTATTGTAGCACCTCGTTGTCATTCGAACGTCGTATACAAACTACAACTAGGAGTGCTGGCTGAAACGCGGGATGTGTAGGACTCACGGGTCAAACCAAATCCATCAAAAGACGCCGAACTAGGCAAAGCAAAAATTTGGCCAGCACATGCCGAAAACATGCGAGGGAAAGCGCGGGTCGGAGTCATCCAAGACGATTGTGAAAAAAAGAAGATTTCGGAGCAATTTGAACTCAGTTCCCACAAGGGCCAGAGTTGTAGGACAGGGTTGCGACGGCCTCCAACAACCTCCAGTAGCGGCCCGACCGAGGGTTTTCGTGCCATTGCGAGTGGAGTCTTGGGGACGTACTGGGTTGCAACGCTTTGCTGCAATGGGATTCTCTCGCGGTTTGTTATCGGGGGTCTTGACGCCGCATGCATTGCAAGTCTGTATGCATCCCAGCGTGGCAGATCAAACGCTGAATTTCACAAGACTTTTCGTGCCATACGCAAGACCTCCCGAAAGGACGAGAGCTTGAAAGAAAACTCATATTCTTTCATAGAGAGCCGGTCGATCTTCGTTCTTCGTACATTGCCAAAACCACACTGGCAATCTACCCTGCTGGTCACCACTTGTACGCCACCGGTTTCAAGAAGCAATCTTGCCGTGTTTTCTAGATCTGAGCGCAGCATTGTGGTAGCTTAGTATGTGACACACGCAGTCTACCGTACAGCAATACACCCGTGGTACCGGTCCGATCCGATTCACAAACACCGAAAAAAAAAAAAGAATCCAAAAGGTTGAATTCAATTCCTGCACAGGGGTCGGGGCGATTGCACCAGTCGCACTTGTCATACAGGGGATACATACGACATGAAGAGGCTAGGCTGAAATATATTGGCACACCCGTGCCTTCACATTGGTCAAACATACCTCGGTCCAGTCGGATATCCACCATGCGGATGAGATCGATGGCCGCGGCCCCGAGGCCCCTGGTTTGAGGACTGCAACGTGGGCATCTGCGTTCCAGAAACTTGTCTCCAGCACAATTCACCTAACAAATGGTGACATGCAAGAGGTTGTCCTGATAAAGTGTATACCAGGAGTGGGCAGATTTGAGATACTTAGCTACATGTAGAGCCGAATATTACGACAAACCCCAATTGTTTCTTGAATTTCGGTTTTGATTGTCAAATGAAAAGGACACCAGGCATGACTTCAGCGAATAACACAACGATAACAAAGTCGCACCTTCCCGCATGCACGAGTACACAGCCACCATAAACAACAAGAAACCCGAAACTCATATTCCTGCACCCCCGCCTTTCCGAAACACCTCAGGGCAAAGCGAAAAGCTCCAGCAATCACCGGCAAATTGCTATGGCGTGGATGACACCACACAGAATCCAACACCGATAAGAATTTTACGGTGGGCTCCTGTTTCTGCACATTGCTGTTCTGCCAGCTCTCGAAAGCGCCTACAGCTATGGGATATCGACACAAGAAAACACAATCTCCTAAGTACAATTCACATGAAGACACGGTACAACACGAACCCCATGATGAAACAGCGCCCGCCTGATGCGAGTGCACATTGCACGAAACGCGTACCGCCAACTCCGACACAAGATCGAGTGTTTCGTATAGCGTGCCACACACGCGATCTGCACAAATCATTACCGCCAGGTCCGACATGAGATGGAAAATTTCGTACACCGCGCGTCCAAACGGTCGCAAGAGTACCCCTTGCTGGGGGCAGCTATGGGCCCCTAGACTACACAAGTGTGTGACAAGGCTTACCTTGGTGGCGAAGGGCATCTCGTAGCCATGCTGAGGACACTTCAGAGAGCCGTTCCAGCGTAGTCCTGGAAAATCCATCAGCATCAAGCTCACGGCAGACGTGACGTATGACAACGCCACCCACGGAGCTGAAGTGCTGATATCGCCGAAAATCTGAGCAGTAAGCTCATTGTTCGTGGATGAGTACTCCGTAACCACAGCGAATATCCCGCGCCCATCTAGGTCGCCGAGGCCACCATGCACCAGCACCCCATATCGCCAGAAAGTTTGCACGTCACCAAGACCGCAGCACCGTGTCAGCACCTTTTCAATCGCACCAGGCGGTACACCGAGGAAAATCTCCCAACTGGCGCTGAATGCCGGCGTGTACTTCGAGCAGAATGTGTCTATTGCTTCGCCCACACTCGCGGGGCGGTTTGGCTCTAGCCTAAGCAGAACGACCAGGCCGTTATCAGGATCGCCTTCGAGTGGGAAAGTGAGACCCAAGGATGCAAGAGTGGGAAGGACATACTCGGATAGACCATCCGGCCACATCGCATACGCTAATCTTGGTTCAAGCACGCCCTCGTTCTTGAGCCTGCCCCACGAAGCGATGTCTGATGAATCGTCGAGTGTGATACGTGCGTCACCCGTGTCCCCAAGATTCACACGGCCGTCAAAGGTCCGTTGATCCTTGTGATTGAGCAAGGGCTTGAGGATTCTCGCCAGCCAAACGACGTCCAGAAAAACGAATTTCTCGTGGCGAACGAGGGATCCGTCGAACTCCCTGCGTGCACAACAATGTGAAGCCAAAGGTTCGAGTTGGAAAATCCGCCCAGGAGGAATACGAAGTCCAAATTGCATGCGGACTCTTGAAGGGAAGGATCGTTGCGATCTCTTTCCCGACAGTCTTTTCTTTCCTGATAGGACCAACACAAATACTCGAGACTGAGATATATAAGCGTGCTATGCGATCATGTACACCGAACTACAGCGATGCCGTACCTAATTTTGGCCATCGTAGGCGCTAGAGTGTGGTGAAAAAGGAGGTCACCATATCGAAACGTCGATTTGATCCATTTACCTGATAGATAGAGCTCCTTCCAAAGCATTCTCGGCGTTTGTGACCACGATCCCTCTCTTCCCAAGCTCATCAACTGTTTCCCGCCAGTTGGTGCCGAGTTCCTCAACCTTGATCGCCTGGTACACGTTTGTCTTGCCTACTCCTGTTTCCGTTGGACGTCTCTCGCTGTCGGGGGACTTGAGCAGTACCATCTCCACCGGATCTCTGGGAAAGCAGCATTCACAAATAATAGGTTCAAACGACTTCATATCTCCGGATTGTGCATCTCGTCGGAGCTCGTGGTACGCCAGTGTTCGAGAACTGCATCCATACCTCTGCATCGTACGGGATACTAGTGCAAGTAGGGTGAAACATAAACTATCGAGATTTCTAAAGAAGGCAATCCGCGAAAAAAATATGGGCATGTAGGCCCAAGAATCGAAAAACGTGAAATAGACGGGAAATGGGGCACGGGGCTACGTTTCGTCACCATGACCAACGCCGAAGAGGACGTACTGAATAGAGGTCAGCGTGGGTGTTTAACGTACTGGAGATTCAGCCCCACCCAAAACGATAGGTGAGGAAAGTGTCCACATCCGCCCCAGCTTCGACATACGAAGGTATCCAAACTCGTTGTAAAGCCCAACCGTAAAGCCATGATCAAGCTCACCGTCCATGCTCGAGAGCTTCCAGAACAGTGAGGGCGATATCCCAGCTGCGAGGAAGCACCATCTGGACGCCTCGGAGCCCACCTTCGTCAGGCTTGTTGACGAGCCGGTAAAGCAAACTGGGCGAGGATTTATCGCCTTCCACGTGTCGCCAGTCGCACGCCCAACCCTGCTTCGACGCATCACTCCCAGTGTTGCTCTCGCCATGCTCACCATCTCCTATCGGGAAGCAACTCGTGAGGGAAACGTGGGGCTCCAGCCGGACGGGGTCCATACCATTGCGAACCCAGGTCGAAAGCCACATCCGACAGGCATGCTCCAGTCGTCGGCCAGTTTCCTCAGCGTTCCCGCTCACCAAGTCACACTTGGTAGCGACGAGAATGACGTCGTTGCCGGGAACGCGACGAGATATCGACCGCAGCCAATCGCATACGCGCAATGCTTGCAGCTTGCGGCAGTCTTCCTCAACCTGGTCAACGTTGTCGCTACCTAGCTGCTGTCCGAACTCCCCCGCGTTGCACACAAGCACGCACACCGACCGTGGCGTCAAGAACATCTGCAGCAGCCCGGTGTAGGCAACCTGTCGAGGGAGAGCAAAGTGAGCTTAACATCACGCAGCATCGACCATGCGGCCTCTCGTCGTTGCGGAGTGTACCTCTCCCCAACTTAAACACAGTACCTCATCGAACTGTTCGAGGCTCTCCGAGATCGGAGCACTTCCGGATCTAGCAGCCAGAATGCACAATATATAAAACCACGCTACTGTAGAGCGAGGGGGAATACTTCATTGTGGGCAAAACCACAGTGCTGTAGGGCAGGGAGGACAGATTAAGATGTCATGTGGCGCGTTAAAGCAAGTACATTCACAGCGTGATCCAATTACGAAGCACGTTGCGATTCCTGCATACTCAAGTGGCATTTTCAAGCTTTGCACTCCGTAAACAACGTGTTGAAAAACTGCGGAAAAGAAAAACGCACCCAAATGGCGTCGGCGGTTCTCCGTTCCCTGAGACTGAGGCCAAACGCCTTGGACAATTTCGGCGCACGTGCCTCGATGAGCACAAAATTCATTACAGCCCCGCGACCCCCAAGCACTTTACACCCGTGCTGTCCCCCACCCGGGTGATACATCTCGCAAGCCTGTGGTGAACCAATTCCTGTAGCGTATGACGTATGATATACCAGGTACCTGAGCTTGTTCGGTGTCGCGAAAGACAAATCTCAATGGGCACAGAAGAACCCGAAAGGCATTTCGAGATATAGAGGGGAGGATTTCGCTGTTGTTGGCAACAGTTCCTCCACCTAGTCGTGGTCACTCGCATATAAGACGGACAGCGAATTCTCCTGGAACGGTCTCACGCAACACCTCCGTCAAGCACCAAACATATATGCTTCGGTATGAACAATACTTGTCACCTGTCCAGCGCAGTCGTACACCCGAACGGATGAGCCTTCTAGCTCCATGGGTTCCACGTCCGCAAACACCGTGCTCTCCTCCTTCCACTCGCCCGTGGGAGTTGCTTTGTTGGCCTTCATGCTTTGGCGCAAGCTGCCACAAATAAGAGGCGAGTTTCCATCAAATACGCAAAACGAACGCCGGAGAGATGTAGGAACAGGGTCGTTTGGGCGTAACAAGGTTGAACTCGCCGCGGTTGGTTTGCGGCAGCCTACACCCGAGACCATGCTGATGCGCGGGAGGAGCAAACAGAGTACAGGGTCGATCTCGTTCCGTTTCAACCATTCGTTTACACCGTGACATCCAACACCATCATTTAGGCGGAAAAAATGGAAGATATACAAGAATCCCATTCGGAGTGGGTAAACGGATGCGCTTGAACACGGGGGGCGATGCAAGAGAAAGGAAAACAGCGTGGACAACACAAATACGAATTAAAAGTAGGGCTAGAGCACGGTGTCGAGCAGGTTTGGTTGGAGGAGTAAACTGGAGTCAAAAGTAGAGTAGTACAAACCATGTGGTTGGAAAATGAGTGCCATTGATGACCACCTCTATGGTAAGTCCGTACAATTGCGGCGCAGCAGCATTTTCAACATGACCAGCGTAGGCCGATGGTAAGTCCGTACAATTGCGGCGCAGCAGCATTTTCAACATGACCAGCGTAGGCCGATGGTTGAGCCATACGGACAGGTAGTAGAGATATTTAAAACTCGAACCAACGCATGAAACCAGTGGAAGAGCCCGAAAAGTGGATGAATCGAGTTTTATATCGGAGGGGACTTTTGGGCAAAAATGCATGAATCGTGAGCAAAATATGTTTGGGGCTCCAGAGCTCCCAAGTATATATTTGTGTTCCGAGACGAACAGACTACTCTCTCTATCTCCCTCTCCTCTCTCCTCGCTTTTGCAGCAAACATCACCGCCGTCACGACAGCAAAGACACAGCACACAGTCATAACAACGCCGCCACCACCGCCAGCCCCCAACCAAGCTTTCGGGCACTGCCGGGACGATTTTTTGTTGTGCTGCATGCGTATCAACGCGTACGTGAGGTTGCTGCATGCTGCTGCACCCTCTCTTTTCCCCTCTGCCCTCCTCTCTCGTCTTGCTCCTTTTTCTTTCTCGCTTTTTCTCTGGTGCCGCCATCGCACGCAAGCACAGACGAACTAACGAACAGACACAGTTCCACAAGGCTCGCCGCGTAGCTTATGGGCTGCCCCGTTATTTTTGTGGGGGGGAGGGCGGCCCTTCCTAGTCGGCATGGCGGGGAGGCTGGAGGTTGTTGTTGCCGTTGATGCACAGGGTGTGTGTGCATCTGCCTGTCTGCCTGTCTTTTGTAAGCCCTCTCTCGTTTTCTCTTTGGCACAATAAAAAGAGAAGAAGGACCAACGGTTTGTTATCATCAACGTGCCCGAGTGCCAACATACAGAGTATCAGCTAGCGCGGGTTGGGGGCGCTCTTGGCAGAGACGAACGCGCCTTGTCCGCTATTCGTTCACTACGTAAGGGTGTGCATATTCGTGTCACCTTGAAAAAAGGCACTCTAATTTCGCTTGCTGCTTGTTTCCGGTTGATCAAATTTGGCTGCACCACAACGGCAGCCCACCTGCCGAACACCAGCTGTCCGAGGATGTATTGGCGCAGGCTAACAGTCCTGTGTTTTTATCCTGTGAAGATCTATTCTCGAGTTTTTCACCAAAAATGTACAAAGCAGCGAAAGGCCCAAAAAAATCCCGCCGGTCCATGAATCGAGTTTTAAATAACTCTAGTCTTGAAGCGAATAGTAAAGATGGTTGAACCCTGGATGATATTGGTTTGAATCCGAAGCCGTTTGATGGTTTGGTGTAAATAAGTGGCTGGGTGGTGCATGTGTGTGACAATGTCATGATGAACTTGTCCATGATGTTCTGGGTCACCAAAGGCTTTTCTAGCGATTGCTCTGAGGAGACACGCTCCATCATCTCTTCTTCTAAACTATTCCATGCTGGCGGCGGCGCACGTCCCAACGTTGACACTGCGAACGAAGACGACCAAACATCAACCATTATGTGTCGTGTACGTTGTGGCACGCCAGGTGCGTCGACGGCTTGCAGGAATTCCACCGACCAAACCTCGGGGATGCCAATGTTCTTCTTTCACCAGTGCCAAATGGAATGGGGTGTTGGGGGCGCACCGGCCGGGGTCATTAACACAGACAATTGGCAGACCCAGAAATGGTGAGGAAGCTAACATACATGAGGAATGGCATTTCACAAAAGCACCTAGACAGGCATAGAACCCAGACGGAGCAGTGTGGGTTTCTACCAAAAAATAAAACATTTGAAAGTTGGACACACGTATGCATACACAGGAGCAGCAACGGCGGCAGGAATTGGACGCGAAGAGAGTAGAGAACCGAGAACAGGGCGTGTTCAAAAGGAAGGGCAATTAGAGAGACAGAACCTGCACCAGCACCAGCTGTCAGAGCCAGAACGGCGTCCCATCTCTCACATTACTACTTGCATGTCATACCGTATATGACGCAAGATAACATACCCCCCTTGACCGATTCTCAAAGCTCGATTTCTCAACAGCAGGAAGAGCTACAGCGCCGAAAATGGCGGCGTTGGAACCGTCTCGTCGAGAGCTATTTGAAAACGTATCATCTTGTTTATGAATCTTCTTCGTCGTGGAGTAATCGAGCTTTGAAAATCGGTTCAGCGGGTGTGTTATCTTGTGTCACATACGGTACCCGCCTTATTGAGCGGGCTAAATTACTCAGCGGTATAAACTTCTGGCGGATGTGTGTGTCTGGGCAACAGCAAGCGAACCCACGGAGAAAAGACGTGCGTTTTTGAATCGCTCTGTTCGGGTGAAACGGTCGAAAGCTGCTCTGAACAGGTCAATACTTGCTTGAAAGTAGACAAACCTCTCCCCGAACGGTCTCCAGGGCGATCGACCTGAAAGCACAACTATGTAACAATTGCTACAAGGGATCCTTCTGGAGTGGGCTACTAAGAGCACAGTGTCATCCAGGGGGTGTGATGTAAGATGCCACAAAAAACAGTATGATCGTAGCAGAAAGAGCCCAGAGCTGGCCGCCGGCTGCCAGTTGCGACGTTTCCTAAGTTCAATAGTTCACGGATGACGTAATTTTCACTCGAAGAGCCCAGTGAACCTCAACGAGCAAAAAGTATAATATTGCAAATCTGTACATGGCACACAGTCCAATGTCAAATCGAGATGGCGCGAGTGATCGCGCACCCTCCCACCGTAGACCGACTCTCAAAACTCAATTATTCCACAACTAAGCGAGCACCAGTCCCGAAACGAGAGATTTGGACGATCTTGTTGAGAACATTCTTCCATCTCTCGTCAGGCCTTAGGCTTTGGAGCGATCGAGCTGTTAGAGTCGCGGTCTAGAGGGGGTGCGATCACTCACTCTCTCTATGTGCACGACCAACTACAGCCAGAGCCGCGCATAGAAGGTTCAGGAGTGAAACGGCATGTGTGGCTACCGCTCTTGAAAAAAACAAACGATTCTATGGTGAAAAGCGACAACTGATTGTAGTATAGTTGATCGAACTTGATAGGATACCACACTGTGTCAACTGGGTTGTTTCGAACGATTCCGACCAACCAATATTTGGTGAGAGTGCAGTAGTGGGTAACGGCAGGACCATCACATCGCTGACCTGGTTTTCCCTGCGCCTTCCTGTCCGACAAGGACAACCTTGACGCTGCTGCGCTTGATCCAGCAGGGCTCAGCATACAGGTCTTCGAAATACCCTCTGATACTCTTCGGACCTTTGGCCACGATCGACTCTGGTGGTTCAGCCCATGGGTTACCTAGGAGCGCAAGGTTCACCCCACTTAAACGGTCGAGGACGACAAGCAACCGGCACAGCTGGCTGGGCATTGCTCCACCTGACGAGCAACGTACAGCACGCGCACATCATGGGATGATTATCATCGCCCGCGCCACTAGTGATCACGAGGCCAGAGGGTAGTGGCTCCAGCAATAAGCTACCTCTGGCAATGTTCGCAGTCCCCGCGTAACCTACTCAGTTTTTTCTTGTGGTTGAAGCACGATGGGTGACCACGTTGAGATGTTACCGAACGAGACAGCAGTGAGGCTTTAACAGGCTGGATCGCGCAGCAGTCCCATCATCGACACACAAGGCCGTAGGTACCACCAACGGACGTCCCACGTCTTGGTGTGTGACAGGTATGCTACGAGATGTGGCGCGATGTATCAGGCCCCTCATGGGTTCCACCTTAGCCCAAAAGACTGAGCCTACCCTTCAACTCCAACATTCATTCCTCACATGGTACACGTCCCATAGAGCTCCGACAAGCTGAGAATTTAGTACAATATGGAGCTGCTGCTGGCATCGAGGACAACAGACATCACGTACGCCCATTCGCCACTGAGGTTTTCCAACCTACGTCGATTACCGCTAGGTCCACTCGCAGGCAGACAATTGATTGTCTCAAGGGTATCACTTTGGGCACATCGCTTAATGTAAGCATACCTGGCATGATGTCACCTCCCTCCTTGTGGTGGACATCTTGAACATTTTGGGTGTGGTCCCAGAGAGCTGCAAAGCGAACCGAGAGTGCCAAACAGAGATACACGCAGGCAGCCAAACAAAGCCGGACCGGAGTGAATGGATTCAGCAAATTAGGAGTGATGTCGAAGGGTAAGGTAGTGGGCATCCTCGGGATACAGAAAGCGAAGTAGGTCAGAAGCAAGATCGCATCACCGACTACAGCGACGGGACTGTAGCCTTAAAGCCCACCGAGAATCCTGTGAGGACAGTCTTGGCTGTTCCCGTATCAAAACGAAGAATGACACGGCCGTTGATCAAAGCTCCAGCATGTGCAGTTTATTCCTAGTCGTGTGGGGGCACCGGTCTCTGCTTTTCGTCGAATTTCGAGTTTGTTTATTCCTAGACGATGGAATGTGGTGAGGCATGTCAACCACTCATTCATTCAGCTGAAATCGGTAAGGCAGATCTCGTCATTTGTCAAACCCTCCAGAGACCGTTTTGGTACTTCGATGCAAAAAAAGTGGAAAGCAGCAAGCGTGCACGCATTCCGAAACAAGATCGCGACCACTCAGGGAAACGCTCACTCGGCATAATACTTTCCTAGTCACAAAGGCCCTTGTTGCGTGCTGTCTCATTCTATAGGCGCAGTTTCCGAGCACCTGACAGGCTTCCACAAGTTGTGAAGTTTCTTGGGCGAAAATTAGTTCACGGGATGGAACAAATGCTTCAAATGGGCCGGACTGATCTAGGAAATTGACGATTTTTGTCACTTTCGGTGTTCCGCTGTGCCGCTTCAGACAGGCCCGATACCAAAGGAGCTGGGGGGCCTCACCGACCTGAAGGTGCTTGGGCTGAGCAATAACAAGCCTACAGGTAAATCGGCAAGTACGGCACATGTACTACGTTTCTTGGAATTCCCGGAAGGTGTCCCTTGACTCATTTAGAAACAACATTGCATGAATCCCACCCACGCGGGATTCATGCATTTTCAGAAATCGAAAGAAAACAAAACTCTTTTTGGTCTGTTTAACTCACCATCTAACTTGTTCATGGAGAGGACGAGGGTCT